ACATGTCAAATGCATACAGATCATTGAATAATTCCTTGATCAAGCACAAAAAAGACAAGTGTAATACAATTATTGATGCATTGTTCAGGAAACATACTTTTCTCACTACTTTGGAAACTAAATTCTTGAGTTTTGATCACATAAAAATATTGTACCTTAGATGACCCAAATTTTTTTATAATCTTTCAAGAGTACTTAAAGAAGATACATAAAGATTTTTTACTATATAACAACTTTAAATACCAATTTTCTTAAAAAGAGAGAGAGAGGGAATTTGTGTTCCCAATGAGCCTTTAATAGAAAGGCTAAATATAAAGTTCAAACCATTATTTATACTCCTTTTCTTATCCCTAATTTGCCATGGACAAATTTTCTAAAATGACTTATTTTATACATAACAACAAAGTAGATTATTCTTATAATATTGTGAATTTCTTCTTTAAGAAAGTTGTTCGATTACATGAAATTTTTCGAAGCATAATATTTGATGGAGATTCAAAGTTTTTGAGTCATTTTTGGAGGATATTTTGGGGTTAACTTGTCATAAAACTCTTGTTTCCAACAATTTGTCATCCCCAAATGATAGGAAAACAAAATTGATCAACCAAACTTTATCTCGACCATTGAGATGTTATATTTTTTAGAATCTCCGTTTATAGAGAAATTTACTACCTCGTATTGAATTCACTTGTAATAGAGTAGCTAATTTCACTTTATCACACACTCCTTTTGAGATTGTCTATGAGTTAAATTTCTTTACCCTCTTAACCTTATTGTATATTGTGCAAAGATGGTATTAAAAAATCTCAAGTTATGAAAGAATTTCACTCTAAAATCATGGACCAAATTAGATGAAAAGTGAGACATTTATGTTAAGAATGCCTACAAGGCCACCAAATAAATAATTTTGATATTTAATGATTAGATATGATTGCATTTGAGAAATGACTCAATTCAACATAATATATTTTAATCCAGTTTTCATTACTTATCTTATGCTCTTAGATGAAAACCTTCACACTTATATAATTCTTATTGGATTAAAATAATTTTCAATAAAGAAATCTTTGAGTTACATCTCACATTCATTTTTAAATCTAAAACAAGACATTTTATCAAACATTTCCTATACAATTCTCATGTTGACTCATATCACCTTCTCCTTGTATTATTTGTGAAACCTTAAACTCTCTTCTTGATGCTTGAAGTGTACTCATTTAACCATTGTGGATTCTTGATACTTGTTAAATCCCAAATTTGCTTTATTGTATCCTTGAAAAGGATAGGGTTCTTAAATTCTTATGTTTATGACTAAAATAAGTAATTATTGATTTGGAGATTCTTTACCAATGTTTTTTTAATTTGATTAAATTGAATTTTAGTCCACTTCACCATGAACATTTCATCTTAACTAAACTACAATATTCTTTGGATTAAATAAAAATTTCTATCATTAATTTTCAATCATTAATCATAATAACAATCTTAAAAAAAAAACTATAATCACTCAAACTTTATTTTCACTCCTCTTATTTTTTAGAAAAAAACTAATTAACCAACCACTTTTATAATCCTAAAATTGTATATTAACTAAAATTAGGGATGACAAAACGAATCAGTTTGTCCTGTTTTGGTCTTTCCCATATTTAGCCCATAAAAAACAGGATGGGACGAACTAGTTCATTATAATCACGATGGTTATACATCTAAATCAGTTACTATCTATTTCTTTATATGTATTTAAAAAAAAATACATATTTTATTATACGAATAATTTTAATTTTTTATTTATTAATTAGTATTTTTATTAGATAAATTTAAAAATTACTATATTTATATCTTAAAATAACTAATTATAATTAATAATTTAAATTTAATTGGTTAATATTTATAATTTAATTTATAATATTACGATATATTTACATATTTTCTAATATGATATGAAAAATATAATATTTTAAATTATAATTTTTTATTTTAATTTTTAATATATAAATATTTTTTTAAAATGGTCAGTCTATTTTTCCATTCTTAGTTTATTAAATTGACAAATTAGATGAACCATCAAAACATACTAACAAATTAAAACTATTAAATTGTCCTTCTTAATTAAAATTAAAAAATAAATTAAACAATTAACAAATAGAATCTACTAATAATTATTTAAAAAAATCTTAAAAATTTAAATTTATTTATACATAAATATATTTTTTTACATTACCTTTTAAAATATATTTGTATTTTTTTAATAAAATTAGTTTTAATTTATAAATACATTTATTTTATATAGTTTTTTAAATATAATTATTGAGAAGTGTCTAATCAAACTCTAAATAATATTATCACATCTTATAGTTGCTAAAGCAAATTATATCGATATAAGTTGTTCGTAGTTAAACATTCATGTAAAAATCTCTAGTTTTGTTCCATTTGCATTGTCGTAATTCTTTAATCACGAATAATATTATCGTTAACTATATCATGCAGTTCATGAAAATAAATTATTAACGTGTGTATAAAATTGTGTAAAAATTATATATAAATACACCCTTGTATTTAAAAGTACTTTCTTTTTGTATCTTTGTGATTGATGTAAGAATGAAGCCTACTTTTACCAAAAAAAAGGGTAAAGTGGGAGAATTGCAAAGGCCAGCAGAGTCTGAAAAGAAGAATTCACCATCAACCCACCACATCAAACTGTACTAATCATGATTGATTTATAAATAATAATAATAATAATAACAGAAGTTTAAATAAAAAATATTTAATTATATGACAGAGTAACAATGGTAGAGAAAATGTTTAAGAAAAAAAATTGATTAGCTTGTAAAAATAAAAAAGAGGAATATTAAAGTAAATTAAAATAAATAAAAAATCACTATTCACTGTCCCACCCAACCCTCTTTTTTTACCCAACAAAGCATAAAAGAAATGTGATAGTGAAAATATGAGTTGTGGAATAATGGCCCACATCGATCAACTTCCGGTCCGGTTCACGACAACTCAGACGAGGACCCACCAAACATAGTCAGAGGTTAATCATAATGTTTTTGCCGTAATCATAAAACAACGTGACAGTATACGATAATAGGGAACCATTCTATAGTAAAATTTAATCATAGCCAGGGGTTGACCTTTCTAAATATTGCTCTCATGACCACCTTCATTACTTCTACTTTTGTTGTCACTTCTTTTTACCCAATTTGCACAGTTCTATGTTTAGATTTTTTTTTTTTTAATAAGAAGAGATCCAAACAGAGTTCAACTGGCTTGAGTGTTTGAATGAAGAAACTTGTGCAATTCATTTTCCTTTTCAGAGATAAAGTTAGGGTACAAAAAATGAAAGTTCTTAGCATGATTGATCAGTCTAGGACCTTTATTCAAACTAGTTAGTATTTGTAAAAGTAAAGTTGTTTTCAAATTAACTACCACTAGAGGTTATTTTTTAATTATTGGCAGTTATTTAAAGCCCATTGGAAAATGACTGCCCGCAATTTTTTGAGACACTTAGAAAGCGACTGATTAAAATACACAATGTTGATCATATCATCTTTTTTCTTATCACCAGTGGTTTAAAACTATTTCGTATCAGTTAAAATAATTTCATTTCAAAGAGTATATTTTTAAGCAACTAAAAACAAATTATGAATCTCTCCTTGAAACAAATTGATAAATTACCGTTATTCTCCCTTATTTATTTAGATAATCTATATATGGAAAGATTATCAAATAATCTACATATATGGAGAGATTATCAAATAATAAATGGAAATGAATCTAGTAATATAATCAAATGAATTTAAATTATTTTAAATACCAAAAAAAATCATTTTTTAAATTGTGGTAACCTTTAAGCGACAATTATTTAAAATATGAGAAATAATTATTTAATCACATATAAGATTGTTACAAAAAGATTATTTATCCATCTAATTGCTATTTAATAATTTATAAAAATCTTAAATGTATATATAAGGTTACTTTATTACAGTATTAAGGGCATTTCTAATGCAAAATGCTTAATTTATGTTGATTGGTTTCTAATGCACCTCTTCCTTTGAAGGATGATGAAATGACAATCACAATTGCTTAAATTTTGACAGAGTTGTTTCTTGAAGTGACAAAAAACATAAATAATATAATATGAGAAACAGAAGTCACAGAAAAAGAAGGCAAAATGGGAAGAAGAAGAAGAAGAAAGCAAAAAGAAGTTGGAGAAGGAAAAGAGGGAGAAAGCGAGGCAGAAAAGAAGGGCTATGAAGGGGGAGCAAAGGTGGAAGGAAGAAAGGACCATTGGGTGAAACAGTAAAATAAAAAAATGAGACCTATATTTTAGAGGTTCTTTAAGATTTTTTCTTTCGGATGGAGTGAAAATAGATGAGTTGTTTAATGATAAGTTGACAGAGTAAGACCTATATTTTCATGGGAAACAACTCTTCCTTTACAGATGTTCAAAAGTATAAACAACTCATAGTCATGTATTAGGGGGATAAAACAAAATTTCAAAGCCCGTGACTTGTGTACGAGCATTAGGTTCTTATAGGCTAATATATACTTTTTCACGTGTTTTTGGGTGATCCATGACCACCTTCATTACTTCTTTTTACCCAACATAGATTCAGTAATAAACAAATATTTTTTCATACATAACAAAAATTCCCAATGTTAACACATTCTCCCCCTTGTTTCCTATGTAGCCATTTTCTCTAAGGCAGTCCGAATTCGGGTTTGGGACAACGGAATTCACGTTGCACTTTAATATAGAAAAAAGAAGAAAAAACCTCTAATTTCTGGTGCTTAATCATTTATGCAAAACGCATAAAACATCGTGCTAAAGCCACAATGAAATTTGACTCTGATGTTGGGGATGTAACTTTAATTTCATGTTCCTCAGTATGTAGATATGATTAGTGTAAATTGCTCATGATTCTGAAATGAATCTCGGTAAAATATAATATAGGAAAATGTGCAAGAGCCAGCTATAATGAACCCAAAAAGTGCTACCAATCGGCCGTCCCATAATTTTGATCAATCTCAGTCCCCCAAGATTTTCTAAATCTAACACGCTCCTGGTATCTAGAGGCAGAACTTTTTGTGAATCTAGTAGAACAGGCTAGGGTACAATTAGTTATGCAAAGCAATTTCTGAAACTTATCGTGAGCTGAAGAACCAATAGTTGGACCATCTGAAAAAGAAAAATGGAACCAAAAGAGCAAAAGGGGTGTAGTGCCATTGACAGAAAATAAAGAGAATTGTCATTTCAAAAAAGGAAATGTAGAATCGACCGCTTTTCAGACGGTTCTTTTGTACTACATCCTGTAGATAAGAAAAACATCAAATCCAACTAAAGGAGATGGATTATTAAACCTATCACACCTTGACACTAAAGAACGATGATGATGATGTAATGATGGCACATTGTTAGACTTACCAGCAATCATCAAACCAATATATGGAAAGACAGGCACATATGTCTTTGGATTTAGAAACACATGCAACTAAACATCTATAACCAGGTCGAATTTCTCCCCAAGTTTTGACTTGTGCAATGTAACACTGAACCTAGTTGGACAACCTGCACCAGGCCCCAGCTGAGTCAGACCCTTTTGACCCTCATTTGTCTGCCCTCAACCACTCCTAAAATAACCCGTGAACAAATATTCTTGACACAATCAAGAAACAGTACAATTGCAGGCTCCCCCCAATTCCCACTCATTTTCCAAAAAATTTATAAATTTGTGCTATCTATCCTTAGTCAACAAAAATGTCTAGTTGCACATCCCATTTCCCATATAATACAAAAAGTATGTGGCAGAATCAGTGTAGTGTACATCTGCAGAATGTGAAGTGGTAGTAACTATTCAAATGTGAGATGATGTGGTAGCTCTATTCTTTACCTCCTCCATAATTCCATTCATTGCATTGCCAGAGAATTGAGTCCACATTCATCGTGAAAATAAACCACAAACATCTCAGCAGATCAACATTCCATACTAAATGCAGGCAACGTTTATTAAAAAATAAATCCTAACAACACAATTTCTAACACACCACTTGCTATTGTTAAAATTTATTGAAATTCATAATTTTGTGTATCGCACTTATTAGTTAATAAATTCACCTGATTTAGTACTTTTTAACAATTTTTTTATAAAGAATGTTAAATAAACCCTTTTAAAAGATTATGTAAGATGTGGCTGACTTTTAGTAAAATTTAAACTATATTAAAAAGGCACCAATCCACAAAACATCATTTCTTATTGCCTGCCAGTTACCTAATCATGAATTTCTACAAAGCAAAGTGTTCTGCAAGCTAACTTCAATCGATTTCTGCGGTCCCTTAAGAAATAAGTTACACATCCTCTACCATCTACTTCTCAAATTGTAAATTCCAAAACATATAAATCAAATACCCCAACGTTTACTAAGATCTTTAAGAAACCTTTTATTAACAAACCTTTCTGCACTTATTTGGTACTTATTTCTAATGTATTCCTCAAGGCACACCCGATAGGAGAAGTCGATCCAGCTACCATCGGTTCTTACCACAAAAAGGCACCTTGGGAATATATATAGAGGATGACGATCAACCTACAAGAAAATAAAGTCACACAGGCTGCCCTTACTGCCAACTTTGAGAAAGAATAAAGTAATAAATAAATAATAGTAGCCGAAGTTTACTAGTCTCGTTACCAATCATATAAATCTCCGTTTAATAGGAAATGCATTTGAAACACACAAGTTTACAATTGAAATAAAGGGAATAAATTTCACTAATATCCCCCGAGCTTTTCTAAAATTACATTGAGACCCCAGCCTTTTTAAAATTCTACACATATTTTTTTTAGTTTTAACAACTTTACATTGTCACCACTTTTCATATTACACATGCACCCCTTTAAGGTTTGAAACCTTTACACTTATACCCCTGATAATGGTGAAAAAACAGGAGGTATCCGTGTAAGTTGAAAAGAATACCAGAAATGTAAATTACTCTGTATAAAACATCCGATTGGATTTCTTTCAGGCATTAGTTTATCAAATATCAATACTTGAAGTCATGCAACGAAGGATAAATTGACATCTATTTTCAGAGGTCCTACATTCCTTGATAGTTGGGACTTGGATACAAACTTTTGAGTATCGTCAAAGCAAGGGTGTTTATGCTGTTCTAATGTCATCGTACCAATTACTACAGATGTTATCTGATCAATAAATTGTATTAACAAACCAACAAAGGCATAGGAGATTAAACGTGTATAAATTCACTTGAGCCTAACTAAAGATTCACAAGGTAAGGTTCAAGTCCAATACTTATGCACACCCAATGTTATCATCAGCACAATATTCTAGTACATTTTATCTGATTGCAGTGATAATCTAGATGGTAATAGAAGATAATTAAACAGTAATATTTTGAAATTGAAGTTGACCATTTAAATTGATGCACAATTACAAACAATTTATCAAAATGAGACTTTGAAACATTATACCAATCTAGAGTTTTCTGCCATCTCAACAAGAAAATCATCAATCTATGTGGCAATTTCCAATACCAGGTGGGGCCATATATCTTTTGAAAGCCCTTCAACTCACTACTCTCCAGTACAGTGCCAACCAAGCAAGGCCTTTTCCAGTTAAGCTCTTCACCCAATTGCTCTGCTCTGCACACAATGTGTTTCATGACCTGCATGCCATTTTCAGTTCATTTCCTGAGTTCTTGGTCCTGCATGTTCCTTGAGTTGTCACCTTGTTTTTCATTTTGGTGTAGTACACATCACCCTAGTTGCAGGACAGGTCTCTCTTCTAGCATTTCTTATTTTATCCATTTTGGTGTGTTCAATGTTTTGAAGGCTTAACTTCTCATTGGTCACCCCTAGGTAGAACTATCAATAAAGGTTATAACCCATGAGCCAACCCGACTCAGTTTTGAGCCGGATCGGGTTAAATTCTTTTAACCAATTATGAGTCAAAATGAATCTACCTCCTTTAACCCATGTGTTAAGTGGGTTTGATTCGGGTTATAACGGGTTGACCAAAACCCATACTATTTTTTTATTTAAAAAATAATTACAACACACAAAGTGAACCCTAATATTTCATCTATGCTATATTCACACTGCTACAACAAAACCAATCTAAATCAAGGTCATTGTGTTGTTGCATATGTGTCGCTTGCCTATCCGTTGTGTCCACCTCGTCTACTACGTCTTTTGTGTCTGTTGCCACTTTTGAAGGTTACCCTATTAAGTTCGTCGGTCTTTGTTGTTCTCAAAGGTTACCATGTGCATCCCCGCATCTATGATGCACTCAAAGGTGAGAATTTGTCACCATAACCTAAATGGGGATACTTGAATTTTGGATTAATGAGTATTTGTTTGAAAAATATAGCATCTACACACTACTTGTAGTATGTTAATGATTGGTATATGTCTCTTTAATGTATGGGTTTTTTACTTCTTTCTTTCAAATTAATATGTAGTATGTAAATTGAAACTATTCATCAAGGTGTCAATGTAAATTATATTGTTGATGATTTTATAAGAAATGAAAAAAATCCAACAAGCCAACTTCAATTAACAATGAAGATAAGGATGTTGAAAAAGAGAGAAAGAATGCTAAAGTTTCTAATATTTTTCTAAAAATAGTGTGAAAGATGACAAATAAAAGGCTAAATGTAATGCATGTGAGCAAGAGTATGTAATTGGTGGGTCTAAGATAGGTACTTCAATGTTATTGTGTCATTTGAAAAAAATGCTAACATTAGGTCAAAATATCAAGATATAGGTGGAATAATAATTGATGATATGTGAAAGTTAAGGAATAAGGAACTTGATCACAAACATGAAATGGAACCTCCACATCCAAGTCATGATTTAGTAAATAGTGTTTGAATTTTTCCAACTGGGGTGTTGTGCTCATATCTTGAATCTTATAGTTTAAGAAGGGTTAAAAGTGGTTGAAATTTCTTTGCAGAAAATTAGTGAAAACATTAAATATGTGAAAGGGTTAGAGGCAAGAAAAATAACATTTACAAAATGTGTCGTTCAAATGAGAGATATTGGTACTATGGTTGTTTTAAGGTTGGATGTACCTACTAGTGGTCTTAAGTATTGTCGTGCTTTTGGAAGTTTCATTATATGTCATAAAAATTTTAAACATTATCTATCAAATAATGAGTGAAAAAGAGCTGAAAGGATGTGTGAATTTTTGAGACCATTTTACAAGATAACCAACTTGATTTTCAGTACATGTCATTTAACTTCTAATGAATATTTCATGCAAGTATGTAAAATTGAGTAGTTGTTAAGGGAAACTCAAAAGTGATGATGGAAAAGTTTGACAAGTATTGGAGTGAATATGGTGTCATTCTTTCAATTGCTATGATTGTTTAGCCTAGAATGAAACTTGAAGCATCAAACTTTGAATAAAGTGGAAGGAGCAATCATGTATTTACTAAATCATGTATGTGAAGGTTCCATTTTACAAAAAGTAAGAGTCTTACTATTCAATCTCTAATTATTGTCAACAAAATGTGCTATTAAAAAAATATATCCCTCTCGAGTACAAGAGTCCAACAATCTGATATCAAACCAATTCAATTTTGACATTGATGCATTTCATGTTTCAATTTCTCCTTGATTTTAAGATGGAATTTTGACAAATCAATCACTATAGTATTCCTATTCACATACTTTACATCTAGATTTGAATATGAAAGCAATTCTTAATCCATTTATATTCAACAAATTTAAATGGCAAATTGTGTTCAATGATAGACATTGTCATTATCTCACAATCACCTTTGTGATCAGTTTCTTACCCTTTAACTTTCCCATATTGTCAATTATCATTCCACCTATATATTTTGGAATAATGTTGTCATTTTTCAAATGACGCAATAAGGTTGAAGTACCTATTTTAGACCCACCAATTACATAATCTTGCCCACATATATTACATTTAGCTTTTTCTTTACCATCTTTACCATCCACTTAGCCACAAGGAACAACTCCATATAGTACTTATGCTTTAGTCTTTTGTGGAGTAGAAAAACTACCAATGATAACCTAGATATGACATCGCATAATGGCATTGGAGAAACTTTTGAAAGATGTTTACTTCAAATGAGTGGTTACAGTTTATGAGACCTAATGACGCTGAGGGTAAAGGGATAACAGACACTATACTTAAGTCTACCTTTTGAAATGGTGTTATTTCATTCCTTAAGGTTATGGAGCCATTGCGCATGTTCTTATGCTTGCAGATAATTGAAAGACCAGGAATATGTTACATGTATTAAAAGTACAGAAAGATTTTTGCTATCATTCATAGGATGTTAAATGACTGATTTAATAGTTTCATACTGTGATTATGTTAAAATAACCTTATTAACTCATTGAAAGCTAGAACATATTACAGGTACACACACTAAGAGAAGGACGCTTGATACTTCAGCTACAAAAGTTGCAAGAATTGGTTTTTATTAAATTAACCAAGCTCTTAAACAAATATTTTGATACTTGTGATATAACTTATCATGTTCTCCTAGACGAATTCAATGATAGTAGTGAGTTGGTGGTGGGAGAAAAGGGTGAACATCGAGAAACTGCCGAAGATAGGTTGTTTTTCATGATGATACTTGGGGTGTTGCTGCCAATGTATAAGACTGGTAGGCCTTTAAGAAACACTAAGCAGCAAAAGACTCGAGGTGGAAGCTCCTTCTAGGCCTTCAAACTCTAGAGGAAATGGAAGTGAACAGAAGTTATAGATAAAGAAAGTGGGGATGATGAAATTGAAGAGTACAAATCTTCAAATTTAGTAGCCGTGAAGTGACTATGAACAAAAAGATTTGAAAGATCTTGGAGATTAAGACTCTGCTTAAGAAAAACTAGTAATTAAATTTGAGTATTTAGCTACCTTCAGCCTTAAAGGCATAAACTTGTCCCATTCTTTGACTTTTGTTGCTACTAGCTTTTAGCTTAAGACTATGACTCTTGATTATAAATTATTTGGATAAATTCATTCATTTTTTTTAGCATTTATATATATATTTAGTAAAAATTATTATTTAACTGGTAGGTAAAATTTCAATTCTGCAATCATCCTACCATCCACCATAGCATTTCTCAGGTCAGCTACTCCAAGCAGACAGCGAAAAGTGAAAAGGGTTAGACCCTTTTACTCGCAAGAAGATTGCATTGATGACTCCATTGTTATGCCTAAGGTTTTAAACCGTGGCCCATTTTCTTCGAAATCCTTGACATTGTAAGAAATTATAGACAAATGGGTCACAATCTTAGTTATGGAGAGTCCAAAAACATTGACATTACGGTTGTGGACAGTTTACTAAAACCTTTCTAAAACCAGTTAGCTGGTTAGAGTTCACGTAATTTCGGAGAAATTGAATCAGAAGTTACAAATTGATATAAACATGCCATGGTAAAGCAACCGGTATCATACAACAATACATACTAAACATTAAACAAGCATGCATATAAGTCACTTCAAATAACATTATCACGACAAATAATAAGAACCAACACATCAAATTAATCATGCATACTATTCACTTCACTTACCATAATGCCGTCCAAACCACTCCCGATTTTATCTTCATAATCTGGATGATAAATAAGAACGTTCTCTGCTATGGCTCTTTCATCCTCCATAGTCAATAGCTCCCCGTTCTTGTACCTGCACATAAACGACGTCGTTTCAGGGTTCACACGCAACAACAAAAACTCGTAGTATCAATACTAATTGAATTGGTTGAATCTCAACATACCTTGGTGAGTGGAGAATTTGTCTGGTTAGCGTAAAGATCGGTTCAATGTCCCTCACGATCTTCTCTTCTGTGTCCTTCCATTCGGGATCATCCACCTCGACGTCGGAGTAATCGGTGCGGGTCCCTTCTTCCGGAGATGACGTGGCACTTCCCCACAGACGGTGGCCGTGAGGCGGCGCCAGGGTGAGGCCTTGGAAGCTACGGAGGCGAAGGCGGTGAAGCAGAAAAGGACTAGCAGCCATTGCTGTTCGTATCACAGTGTTTGCGTGAATGGAGCTCAAATTCTATACTCAGCTACCAGTGAGTTTTGTTCCCTAGTTTTGGATTTGGAGGCCCATAATGGACATGTATCAAAATCTCGTAAACAAGTTCTTCAAGCCCAATAAGAAGTATTATTACTCTTTTATAGTGATTTGTGTCTCTCAATTAATTTATGAAATTGTCTATTTTTGATATTATCATTTTTTTAGATGTGGAATAAATCATGCTAGAGTAATAATCAACATTAGAGAAGTATATTAAATAAGTCCTCAAAATCATACGTATAGTGAATCTAACCTCTAAAATATTATAATATTTAATCCTCAAACATCTTTATCAATATTTTGAATTTAAAACCCAAAAATTACTCTCGATCGTGTCAAAAATTTAAATGATGGTAGTTTAATGAATTTAATGATAAAACACTTTGGTGGGTAAAATAATGAAGATGAAATAAAAATAATAATTTTTATCAAATGTTTTATATGAGTTCATGATTTTATTTCAAATTTAGAGATAAATGTATTATTGACTAACATATATATATATATATATATATATATATATATGATATCTTGATTTTATTAAATTATTATTAAATATTTAAAAATTTATTTTGTTCCTTAATCTTTATATATATATATATATATATATATATATATATATATATATATATATATATATATATTTAAACTATTAATAACTATTTATAAATCTATATATATAGTTGAGATTGTATAAATATATTATTTTTTCTTTCATATCACAACTATAAAATATAAAGTATAAAATATGTATATGATTTTGATACTTATATTCATAAATATGCATGATGTTATGACCACTGGTTTGCATCAATTTTTTTTTTAGGTTTACAGGCCTTGAATGATTTCTAGATGATTTGATTTTATTAATATCACAATTAAATAAACCTGGAGAACTTATGATTGACCAAAGTAATTAAAATATTGATTTGGTTAGGTTGTGATTCAAATCATGTTTTGTTGTGTATTCGTGCCTTTTTCACATAATTGCTTTTATTTTATGTTTATTTATTATAATCCTACTTTTAGAGATGCAAAGTCAGAGATCAAAGATATTTATCAATTAAATCATCCGAAGTCAATTGTAATATTTACAAAATTATATTATTTTTTTCTCCTCAATTCAATTTTTAAACTGTTCTTTTATATTTAAATAGGAAAAAAAATGTTAGGTCATATAAGTATCAAATTCCAATTTCACGTTTCATCACTTTCTTTCATTAATATATTTCTTTGACATTTTTAATAGTATTTTAGTCTATGCACATGGTAAATGTTTAGTTTGTATAAGTATAATCTATAATAAATAAATAATTTGAAAAACTTAAATTATAGTAACATAATTAAAATTTGTAATAAATAAATAAATATTTTTATCATATAAATAATATTTTACATTTATAATAAACAATTTATATTAAAATATCATAATATTTTTCACAATTCATAATTTCTTTTATAAATATTAAATTTTAATTTATAAAATGATAAAGATAATATATTAAAACAAATAAGGAGTTAAAAAAATATGAAAACCGATTTTTTTTAATATTTTTAAAATACTACTATTTAAGACAAATGTTTTAATTAGTTAATTAAAATTTCATATTTAATTTTAATAATTATTGTTTATATCGTCAAAATTAACAACAATTATTGAGATAACAAAATTAACATATTTATATTTGTTCCTATAAAATCAAGTATTAGTCTCTTTCTCTACTTGATTCTAAGCTCCTACTAAGTGTTTTCTAGATCTATCTAGTACTTTTAGTGACCTTTGAGAGTGACAAGTTCATGAATTTGACATGTTCTTGGGATCAGACAATCATCGAGCTAGGATTGTAGTGAGGATACTTGCAAAGATATTTCAACGCCCAAGTCATTGATGGGAAAAGAAAGGTTTGTGATATTGTTATAAGAGAAAAAAGTACCATTACCTCTCTTCATATAATTTATTTGAACTTATTCAGGATCTCTTTTGCATGCGCCTTTTGGGACATAAATATCTCTGTCTCCTCCTTGTCTTTCTTCATGTATCCGAGTGGTTGCTAAAAAAACATCATCTCCTTAAGTACACCATTTGTTAGATCAACACTACCAATTAGAATAGTTCAATTATGATAAGATTTAATGATAATATAATCAGTTTTATTTCGTTATTTATGTACAATTATGTACAACATTTATAGGGAGAATATTTCCCTAATTTTTAGGGATAAATTAGTGTATAAGTTTATTACCTTATATTCTATTTATACCTCCTTTGTATCTTTTCCAAAATAAGAAATACATAACGTACTTCTCGCATAGTATCAGAGCTCGATTTGGACCATCCCTAATCTAGTGCAACCAACCATGGAAGAGAACAAGGCAGGAGGTTCGACCACCAGTTTGGTCGAAGGACCTGCTCTTCCTATCACTGATCACAAATTGAATGACAAAAATTATCCTCAATGGGTGAGTTCAGTTAAAATCTTCCTTCAAGAATAAAGGAAGGAAGGTTACAAATGATATTAGAGTCAAAGCCTCTCCTAGTACGGTGTGGTTCGGGGACGAACCAAGCGGAAGCTGGTGGGCATGTGACATCCCGGGCGCTGACGAGGGCGGGGAGTGATCGTCGGTGCAATGAGGCACGGACAAGGAGTGACTCCTGGCAGACTTCCAGTAGAAGGGTCATATGAATGAACTGAAACACACCCAAAGCAGAAGGATCTAGAGGCTGTATAGGTATGAGACTATATAGTTGAAGGATAGCTTAAGAGAATTGATTGATATTACCTATACCAACAAAATGCATTTACTTTTCGATGACCTATCACATAAGAACTCCATAGTTAAGCATTCTTGACTTGGATAAATTGTGGGATGGATGACCTTCTGGGAAGTTCTCAGAAAGTGTGTGAGTGAGGACAAAGCACACTAGAAAGTCTCGTGTTGGGTTGTGGGGATAGTCGACAATTCCATACAAGCAGGGAGAAGTGTCCAGTAGAGGGTGACCCTAATCTCAACAAATGACTAGAAAACAGTTTAGTCATGTCATGGTTACTCAACACCATGACCAATGAAATTGGGGAAAATTTCATGTACTATGACACTACTAAGGAGATGTGAAATGCAGTGAAGGAAACCTACTCAAATATGGACAATACGTCTGCGGTATTTGAGATATGTCATGGTTATTCAACACCATGACCAATGAAATTGGGGAGAATATCATGTAATATGACACTACTAAGGAGATGTGGAATGCAGTGAAGGAAACCTACTCAAATATGGACAATACGTTGAGATTAAGAGCATACTCCATGGACTACGACAAGGTGATTTCTCAGTTACTGAATATTTTAATACACTCAGCCGACATTGACAGCAACTAGACATCTATGAAGACGTTCAATGGAGTTGTGTCGAGGATAAAAAGAAGTATAAATAATTGATGGAGAAAGATAAGATCTACAAGTTCCTATTGGGGCTGAACACAAAACTTGATGAAGTCCGAGGGAGAATCCTTGGAACCAAACCTCTTAAAACAATTTGATAAGTATTTTTGGAAGTGAGAAGGGATGAGTGCAGGAGGAAAGTAATGCTTAGAAAGTCAAGTACAACCCCACCCATTGAAGGCACAACAATGACAACAAGGAGGAACCAATCTCATTATCTAAAAAGAAAAATCGGCCCTGGTGCGATCATTGCAAAAAATTGGGACACACCAAGGACACCTGTTGGATTATTCATGGCAAACCTTTAGAGGAAAAACAGACAAAAAACTTGGACAGTAGAGGCAACACAACAGAGGTAAATTCTAATCCATCTTGATTCAGTAAAGAGCAAATGGAAGCACTACAGAAAATTCTCCAACATGGAGTAGTGTAGAAGCTGAATTCAGAAGTAGTGCAGAAGTTGGTGGCAAGGAGTAGTGCAGAAGCTGAATTCAGAGCTATAGCTTAAGGTATCTGTGAAGGAATATGGCTTAAGAGGATGTTAGATGAAATCAAAATTTCTATCAATTACACTGAGGGTAATATGTGACAATAAAGCTGCTAAAAGCATAGCAAATAACCTAGTCCACCATGATAAGACCAAGCATGTGGAAATTGACCGACACTTCATTAAAGAAAAAATTGATCATGGTATTATAAGTGTTGACCATGTTCCATTATGCAGACAAACAACAAATATCCTAACAAAGACTCTTCTAAGGAACACATATGAAAACATTAGATCCAATCTGGGTATGATAGACATCTACCACCCAGATTGAGGGGGAGTATTTGAGATCAACACTGTCAATTAGAATAATTCAATTATGATAGGATTTATTGATAATATAATCAGTTTTATTTCGTTATTTATGTACAGTTATGTACAACATTAATAAGGAAAATATTTTCCTAATTTTTAGGGATAGATTAGTGTATATGTTTATTACCTTGTATTCTATTTATACCTCGTTTGTTTCTTTTCCAAATAAGAAATACACAAAGTATTTTTCGCATTAAAAAATGCTAACTTGACATACACCTTGCGTAACAACTTTTCATTTCTTCTCTCTTGACTAAGCTCGATCAAAGACGGACTTGACAGTGCCGACTTGACATCCATCCGCATAATCGGTCATTTGTATTGTGCTGTTAAAGAGAGCATCAGCCGAACAGTCTTCATCCTCGGGGGTGAACATCTCATCATAATCAATCCCTTCTTTCTGTTTGTAACCATTTACCTTTCCACCTCTCCTTATGCCTGGAGTTTCTTCTTGAACACCCATTTCACATCAATAGGTTGAGCATAACCAAGTGTTGTTTCAATCTATAGCTTGGATCTTATCATCCATGGTAGTTCGCCACTTCTTATATCGTATAGCCTCCTCAAATATGATGTTCTTGGAATCTGCCAAAAAACAAACAATATGAACTTTATTAGACAAATCATATAAG